TGTGTGTATGTATGTATGTATGTATGTATGTATGTATGTATGTATGTATGTATGTATGTATGTATGTATGTATGTATGTATGTATGTATGTATGTATGTATGTATATATATATATTGGTATCTCGACCTACGAGTGACCCAACACACGAGATTTTCTTAGATTCGAGCAGTTGAGCGAAATTTGAGGTGTGAAGAACTGGGTCTGCTGGTTTCACAGTTCATGAAAAAAAAAAGTAGCAATTGACCGTGTATGGCAACTGTTTAATGAGAGTTGTCTAATTCATTACCACACCGTTCTGATGAGAGTTGTCTAACTCATTACCACACCGTTGTGAGGGGGAGAAAGAAACAAAACATGTCTAAAGTTTTTGTTTTAATCTGCCTGCACGTGAAAGTGAGTACAACGAGGCGAATAAGGCAGAGCTCAATGAAAAGAGAAGCAGTTACGAAAACTAAACGAAAGTACAAATAAATGATAAAGTAGACAAAAGTACAAATAAATGATAAAGTAGACAAAAGTACAAATAAATGATAAAGTAGACAAAAGTACAAATAAATGATAAAGTAGACAAAAGTACAAATAAATGATAAAGTAGACAAAAGTACAAATAAATGATAAAGTAGACAAAAGTACAAATAAATGATAAAGTAGACAAAAGTACAAATAAATGATAAAGTAGACAAAAGTACAAATAAACGATGAAGTAGACAAATGTAGAAATAAATGATGATGCAGCATTGAAATTATGTTTAGTGAACTTAGTTTTCAAGCTGTTGAGTCAATAGTGTAACCAGTGTCAATTAAAGGGAATGAGAGATTTAAGCATTAAAAGAAATCTGAAACCGCCATCAACTAGCCATATGGCGCATAACATGCTCACACTTTATGATCACGTGATCCTGGTTATTGTCACGTGACTAAAAGTTTTGGTCGTCTTTATACTTACTAGTACCATCAACACATTTATTTTCTACAGACCATTATGCCCTACTCATTTGAGATCACCTTAATTTAGCCCCAGAAATGAACAAATGGGCTATATCAAAACTTCCCCGGGAAAAGTTTGCAGACGAGATAAAATTCCGTGTAACGATTTGACCCGACAGTTCGTGCGCCGCGCTTCTTGGGACTGGTCGCTGATTCGCTAGCAGGGGACAGCAGTCACGGACATAATTTTCTCAGCCAATCAAAAAGGTCGATACATGACTCAAACGGGTAAAATAACCCGTTTGTTATTTCTATCACGAATAGCTTGAATAGACGTTAGCCTAGCTATTTTTGGCTGTGGACATTAGCTGTTGTTGGCTGTGGACGCTAGCTGTTGTTCGCTGTTGATGTCAGCTGTTGTTGGCTGTGAAAGCTATCTGATGTTGGCTGTGGGCGCTAGCTTACAATGGTTGCACCATCTCGTTATCTTTCCCTTTTTGTGCCCAAGACACATGGGCCGCCATAGAAAGCATCCTCCACTTTTGTCGGTCACCGGCAATTTTCCTGGCAGTCCCCCATGACAGTCCTGCCTCTGCTTTCTGGCAGTCCCCCATGACAGTCCTGCCTCTGCCAGCTGCTTCCCTCTTGTGCGCCTCCACGTCTCACTTGCCTTCCCTGCCTTCCCTGCTTTCTCCCTGAGGCGTCCAGTTTAGCGCCATTCCTGCTATACCATCTGGATTCATTCTTAGGATGTGCCCCATCCAGCGTCAGCTTTTTTTTTTCGATTAGCACGAAAACTGCTTCTAATACCATCGCTTTTAGTAGTCTATCACTTGAGACGGTGTTAGGCCAATGCTCGCCTTTTATCCTTTGCAAGCACTTTGTTTGTACAGTGATCTGCTGGTAGCGGTTGTCCCAGCATTCACTACCATACAGTAAGACGCTAAAGACATAACTTCCCAGCATTCTTAAAGTCTATTACTTCCTCTACTTGTGTGGTGTTTATTTTAACAGGTTCTTATCTAGATGTATTTTGCTTATAAGTATGCCTTTATAGAAAGAATTTTTACATATATCACCATAGCCTGGAGGTAGTGACGTCACCCATGTATACGTTCTGTAAAGGGGATTGACTGCAGTTACTACTCTATGATTCAAGAGTCACTATCAAGAGCCACTATCAAGTGTCACTATCAAGTGTCACTATCAAGTGTCACTATCAAGAGTCACAATCAAAAGCTCTATCTAGCACAGGCTCGGGTAAGTTTCCCAATGGCCTAAGGGCCACTACTCACTGTGTATATTTAGCACTGACTCAAGTCTCGTGGCTCAAGTCTCGTGACTCAAGTCTCGTGGCTCAAGTCTCGTGACTCAAGTCTCGTGACTCACGTCTCGTGGCTCATGTCTCGTGACTCAAGTCTCGTGGCTCAAGTCTCGTGGCTCAAGTCTCGTGGCTCAAGTCTCGTGGCTCAAGTCTCGTGGCTCAAGTCTCGTGGCTCAAGTCTCGTGACTCACGTCTCGTGGCTCAAGTCTCGTGGCTCAAGTCTCGTGACTCAAGTCTCGTGGCTCAAGTCTCGTGACTCAAGTCTCGTGACTCACGTCTCGTGGCTCAAGTCTCGTGACTCAAGTCTCGTGACTCAAGTCTCGTGACTCAAGTCTCGTGGCTCAAGTCTCGTGGCTCAAGTCTCGTGACTCAAGTCCCGTGTTAAGTCTCGTGACTCAAGTCTCGTGGCTCAAGTCTCGTGGCTCAAGTCTCGTGACTCAAGTCTCGTGACTCAAGTCTCGTGGCTCAAGTCTCGTGACTCAAGTCTCGTGGCTCAAGTCTCGTGACTCAAGTCTCGTGACTCAAGTCTCGTGGCTCAAGTCTCGTGGCTCAAGTCTCGTGACTCAAGTCTCGTGTTGTCTCGTAACTCAAGTCTCGTGGCTCAAGTCTCGTGGCTCAAGTCTCGTGACTCAAGTCTTGTGGCTCAAGTCTCGTGGCTCAAGTCTCGTGACTCAAGTCTCGTGACTCGTCTCGTGTTGTCTCGTAACTCAAGTCTCGTGGCTCAAGTCTCGTAACTCAAGTCTCGTGGCTCAAGTCTCGTGGCTCAAGTCTCGTGACTCAAGTCTCGTGACTCAAGTCTCGTGTTGTCTCGTGACTCAAGTCTCGTGGCTCAAGTCTCGTGACTCAAGTCTCGTGACTCAAGTCTCGTGGCTCAAGTCTCGTGACTCAAGTCTCGTGACTCAAGTCTCGTGACTCAAGTCTCGTGGCTCAAGTCTCGTGGCTCAAGTCTCGTGTTGTCTCGTGACTCAAGTCTCGTGGCTCAAGTCTCGTGACTTAAGTCTCGTGACTCAAGTCTCGTGACTCAAGTCTCGTGGCTCAAGTCTCGTGACTTAAGTCTCGTAACTCAAGTCTCGTGGCTCAAGTCTCGTGGCTCAAGTCTCGTGACTCAAGTCTCGTGACTCAAGTCTCGTGTTGTCTCGTGACTCAAGTCTCGTGACTCAAGTCTCGTGACTCAAGTCTCGTGACTCAAGTCTCGTGACTCAAGTCTCGTAACTCAAGTCTCGTGTTGTCTCGTGACTCAAGTCTCGTGGCTCAAGTCTCGTGACTTAAGTCTCGTGACTCAAGTCTCGTGACTCAAGTCTCGTGGCTCAAGTCTCGTGACTTAAGTCTCGTAACTCAAGTCTCGTGGCTCAAGTCTCGTGGCTCAAGTCTCGTGACTCAAGTCTCGTGACTCAAGTCTCGTGTTGTCTCGTGACTCAAGTCTCGTGACTCAAGTCTCGTGACTCAAGTCTCGTGACTCAAGTCTCGTGACTCAAGTCTCGTAACTCAAGTCTCGTGTTGTCTCGTGACTCAAGTCTCGCGACTCAAGTCTCGTGACTCAAGTCTCGTGACTCAAGTCTCGTGACTCAAGTCTCGTGTTAAGTCTCGTGACTCAAGTCTCGTGGCTCAAGTCTCGTGACTCAAGTCTCGTGACTCACGTCTCGTGACTCAAGTCTACGATTACCAGACAACTGACAGTGTGTAACCACCAACTGTTATAGTCCCCACACCTTGTTACCCCCCCCCCCTCCCACACACATACTTCAACACCTTTCCCCCCACCCCACCACAACCCCACATACTTCCACACCTTTTCCCCCACCCACACACATACTTCCACACCTTTACCCCCCCCCCCCCCCACCCCTCACCACTCCCACACATACTTCCACACCTTTTTACCCCCCCCCCCCCACACACACACATACTTCCAAACCTTTACCCCCCACCCACACACATACTTCCACACCTTTACCCCCACCCCACACCACCCCCACACATACTTCCACACCTTTACCCCCCCCCCACCCCACACCACTCCCACACATCTGCCTGTCACAGTTAGACTCCGCCTACCAGCACCGTCCCCGTGTGAGTATGACGATCAGTGCCAGCCCCACCGCCCAGCCCCACCACCTCTCCCTCCGCCTCTCCCTCCCTCCAGTTCCTCTGCTGCCCGCCAAGGTCTAGAGGCGTCAAATAGAAATTTTATTCCAATTTTGGAAATATTTTTTCTTACAAGTATAGTTTTGTTATGATTTTTATTTATCGTGAGTGTAGTTTGTGATAATTGTTTCGCGAATACTCGTGTCCATAGATTATAATAATTGAATTCAAATTTCAATTCGGCTTTAAAACTGAAATTGTTTTTATTTTCAGTAAATCTAAAACCAAATTTGGAGGATATTGATGAGCATAAACAAAATTTCAAGCGCTTGTTTTACTTACATTGTGTTTTTTACTCTCAGGTGACATAGAGGTGACATCCAGGAGAAAAATAGAGGTGACATCCAGGTGACATAGAGGTGACATAGAGGTGACACAAAGGTGACATAGAGGTGACACAGAGGTGACATACAGGTGCCATACAGGTGACATAGAGGTGACATAGAGTTGACACAGAGGTGACATACAGGTGACATAGAAGTGACACAAAGGTGACAGGTTCAACACCCAAGGTACTAGTTGTGGCTGATTGAAGTGACTCTGGCTTTTGATACTTGTTCGAAACCCGAGGCAACTGTTGCTGTTTGTACCAGTTCGAAGTTCGAGACAATCATCTCTGCCCACAGATGGCACAAGTGCCAGAGGAAAACATCTGCCCTCCTGGTGGCATGACAGGCGACCAGTACAGGACCAGAGGTAAGTCACGTGATGGGCACGTGATCTTGACGTGATCATCACGCAGGTGCATGTTTGGTTAAATTGTTCATTAATTAAATACAGGCGTTCAAAGTGTTAAGTAAAGATTCTTAAGGTGTCCATTTTTTAATTTAAGTGAAGATTCTTAAGGGGCCCATTTTTTAATTTAAGTAAAGATTCTTAATGTGCCCATTTGTACATTTAAGTAAAGATTCTTAAGATGCTTATTTGTTAATTTGGTGCGCGGACCTTTGACCACAGGTGCTTTGACCATAGGGGGTTTGGCCATAGGGGGTTTGACCACAGCGGAGCTTTGACCATAGGGGCTTTGACCATAGGGGGTTTGACCACAGCGGTGCTTTGACCATAGGTGGTTTGATCATAGGGGGTTTGACCATAGGGGGTTTGACCACAGGTGTTTTCTCAGCAGAGGGTCTTTGATCACAGGTGGTCTATCAACGGGTGTTTCATCACAAGCGCTGTGTCCGGCTTTGATCATAGGTGTGATACAATTAACACGATTTTATACATGTTTCCTGAGAGTACGTTAATAGAAATTAACATGTATTTTAAAAAGCCAAGAACTATATTTTAGTCTCCACATAAAGGCTGGTGCTAGACCTCATAGATTTATTTTAAATATAAAGGAAACACAAATAATGCGACATATAACAAGTTTCACAAATAAATAATGTAGAAGTACTTGAAAATACATAGCATATATAAAGGATAAAAAATGATACAAAACTTGCCAACAATATAGTCAAAGATGTAATACATAAAATGGTTAACTAAATGACAGATGTGCTATAGCACGCAAATATGTCATTACATCTGTTTGACCATATTATTACATCATGTCGAAATTTAAAATATAATTTAGCAACTTTTAAAATAAATCCTTACCATATATGGACAGCATTGGACAAACCACCTGAGATCAAAGACCATATGTGGACAAAACACCTAAGATCAAAGACCCCATGTGGACAAAACACCTATGATCAAAGCCGGACACAGCGCTTGTGATCAAACACCAGTTGATAGACCACCTGTGATCAAAGACCCTCTGCTGAGAAAACACCTGTGGTCAAACCCCCTATGGTCAAACCCCCTATGATCAAACCCCCTATGATCAAACCCCCTATGGTCAAAGCACCGCTATGGTCAAAGCCCCGCTGTGGTCAAACCCCCTATGGTCAAAGCTCCTATGGTCAAAGCTCCGCTGTGGTCAAACCCCCTATGGTCAAACCCCCTATGGTCAAAGCACCTGTGGTCAAAGGTCCTAGGACCGTTAATTTAAGTAAAGATTCTTAAGGGGCCTATTTGTTAATTTAAGTAAAGATTCTTAATGGGCCCATTTGTTAATTTAAGTAAAGATTATTAAGGGGCCCATTTGTTAATTTAAGTAAAGATTTTTAAGGAGCCCATATTTAAGTAAAGATTATTAGGGGCCATTTGTTAATTTAAGTAAAGATTCTTAAGGGAACCATTTGTTAATTTAATTTAAGATTCTAAAGGAGCCCATTTGTTAATTTAAGTAAAGATTCGCATAGTGCTTATTTGTTAATTTAAGTAGAGATTCTTAAGGGGCCCATTTGTTAATTTAAGTAAAGATTTTTAAGGTGCCCATATTTAAGTAAAGATTTTTAAGGGGCCCTTTTGTTAATTTAAGTAAAGATTCGCAAGGTGCCCATATTTCAGTAAAACCTCTTAGGGGCACATTTGTTAATTTAAGTAAAGATTCTTATGGGGCACTTTTGTTAATTTAAGTAAAGATTCGCAAGGTGCCCATATTTCAGTAAAACCTCTTAGGGGCACATTTGTTAATTTAAGTAAAGATTCTTATGGGGCACTTTTGTTAATTTAAGTAAAGATTCGCAAGGTGCTTATTTGTTAATTTAAGTAAAGATTCTTAATGTGCCTATGTTAAAGTAAAGATTCTTAAGGGGCCATTTTGTTAATTTAAAAACAGATTCTTATGGTGCCCATTTGTAAATTTAAATAAAGAATCTTAGATGACCATTTATTAATTTAAGTATAGATTCTTAAGGTGCCCATTTAACAATCCCTACGTTTCAAAAAAACTCTGAAGGTGTCTCCCTCGCGATAAACAAAATCTGCTGCCATATGAATAAATGACATAGATACTAGGGGTGGATGTTTTTTACCAAAATAAATGCTGATCTTCTGGGGGGGGGGGGGGGTCCGTGTATCAATTCACTGTAAGGGCAACTGTTCTAGCATTGATTCCGTCACCCCACCCCACCCACTTTTCTCCCCCACCCTCCCCCACCCCACCCACTTTTCTCCCCCACCCTCCCCCACCCACCCACCTTCCTCATCAACCCCCATCCAACCCACCTTTCACCCCACTCGTCTTAATCCCACCCACCCACCTTCCTCCCCCACCCTCCCCCACCCTACTCACCTTTCTCCCCACCCACCTTCCTCCTCAACCCCACCCCATCCACTACCAGTAAGAGTGAGCTAAATGAAAGTAAACATGTACTAAATGAATGGCACCTATGTAGGTGTGCTTAAAATGTTATCGGTAAATTGCCAACTAAAAACGTCATCAAATGTCGCGTGAAATGCCTGGACAGGTAGAACTAAACTTCCCTGGCCACCGTCTTTCACTGCCGCCACGCTAATTAATTAAAGCCGTGAACCACCCGAGGCATAAAGCTGGATTACCTCCCTTATTGGGCTATAAGCTGAGTTATTCGCCCCTGGGATCTTAACTGGATGGGAAGCGGGTTGATTCCACCCCCCCCCCGGCTTCCTCTCCCCTCTCTTCCCCCCAACCCACCCCCCACCCCAAATGCAAATATGTTACTGTGGCAACTGAAGTAGTTAAGAGAAGGGGTGGGGGTGGCTGTGGGCTGTTATGGTTGGGGTGGGCAGTGGTGAAAGGGATATGACGTCAAGCATTTTTCTGACGTCAAATCCAGATGATCCCACGATCCCATTTGACGTCTCGACCTATCGACCCCATGTATAGCGTACCTTGATGCCTTAGAACTTGACCTATCGACCCCATGTATAGCGTACCTTGATGTCTTAGAGTTTGACCTATCGACCAAATGTATAGCGTACCTTGATGTCTTAGAGTTTGACATATCGACCCCATGTATAGCGTACCTTGATGTCTTAGAGTTTGACCTATCGACCCCATGTATAGCGTACCTTGATGTCTTAGAGTTGACCTATCGACCCCATGTATAGCGTACCTTGATGTCTTAGAGTTGACCTATCGACCCCATGTATAGCGTACCTTGATGTCTTAGAGTTGACCTATCGACCCCATGTATAGCGTACCTTGATGTCTTAGAGTTGACCTATCGACCCCATGTATAGCGTACCTTGATGTCTTAGAGTTTGACCTATCGACCCCATGTATAGCGTACCTTGATGCCTTAGAACTTGACCTATCGACCCCATGTATAGCGTACCTTGATGCCTTAGAACTTGACCTATCGACCCCATGTATAGCGTACCTTGATGTCTTAGAGTTATTAGAATTAATCAAACAAGTCAACGCTGGCCATGGCAAGATGAATTAATTTATTGCTCTCGAGCGCTTTAGGCGTTTCTAATCGGGTTTTTTTCTTACGTCACTCACTCATCAATAGATAAACGTCTCATATAGCGCACCAAGTACAGTGCACCATATAGCACACCAAGTACAGTGCACCATATAGCACACCAAGTACAGTGCGCCTCATAGCACACCAAGTATAGTGCACCTTATAGCACACCAAGTACAGTGCACCTTATAGCACACCAAGTACAGTGATCGGAGGGGGGGGGGGGATTATAGGAAAAAAGTCAGAGGAAAAAAAAACCACAGGAAAAAAGTCACAGGAAAAAAGTCACAATCATATATCTGCATATACTTAGTTAATACTTGTATGTGTTAAATATTCAGCGAGTGCAAATGAACTCAGATTAATTAACTGTATTGTAGTGTGCGTAGGTTGTATATGTATAGTAATATTTATAGCAAACGTAAATATATTTAGTATGAAGTGTGTCGGTTGTAATGCCGCTATAATATAGCTAGCGTGCCCGTCCCCGCGCGTTGCCGTGGGGTTAAAAGATAGTCCCAGGATAGCCCGAGGCAAATCGTAGCCTGCCTGGTCAGACGGGCCTGATTCAGTTTAGTGAGAGACTATAATACTACTTCTTATCCTTATTTTATCACATTTTAAAACAAACATATGAGCCATAGCGATACCGGTGCGCCAAATTGCACCCTGCTGGGGCGCCGCCAGTGCGAAATTGATTTATTTTTCCGCAGAAATCTCCCTACAAGTATTCTCAACAACTTCCCAAAGTTTCATGGCGATCTGATTAAAGTGTAAATATACGTTTAAAAATGTGCTACTAAAACAAATAAACCGGGAGTGATCTCCCCTAAACTTTCTCGAATATTCAAATATAACACTATGGGGGATGGCAACTCGGGATATAGACTTCTAGACATAATTTTTAATCCATTTTAATTACTCTAATTTTAAAAATAGAATATAATCTCGTAGAAAAAAGAAATGCACACCCAGTGAACGCTAAATAAAGATGTGCATAATAGTGCGCAATCTTATTAGTACTTTATAAATTTACATGCGTTTTTTGAGAAATCGGAAATAGCGTAAATAAGTACTTCCAGTCAACGGAAATTACTCAAAATTTGACAGAAGGTAGAGAATTAGATCTTTTACTTACATATCAATTTTCATTTATCTATCTGAAATAGTACTCAAGTTATAGGCTTTTGAAAAATTCAAAGTAGAAAAAGTACCACTTCCGGTTATCGGAAATCGCTCAAAAGTTGATACGGATCTACGATTTTGATAAAATACTTATATGTGAAATTTCATCAACCTAGCTGTAACGGTACTTAAGTTATCGTGTTTACACACGGACATACACACACACACACACAGACATACGGACAAGATTGCAAAATTATGTTTTTCCGTATCAGTGAGATGTAA